GTACATTTTGTATCTTACAAAAAGTATATATATATAGTATCGCTTCGCTTCCCGTTTCTTTTATTCAATATATTCAATCCCTGCGCTCATTATTCGATTCATTTATTCCTATTACTCACTTACCTCGCATTCGTTTTTACGCCATTAATCTTTCGCGCGAGATGGAAAGAGCTCGGGGAGGGAATACAATAAAATCAACGTCTAATAGAGATGATTTTCCTCGGAATGAACGCGGGGAAAACTGCGGAGCGGAGGAGTCGGGAGCAAATCTTTCCTGAAGAAATGGAAATAAAAACGGGCTTTAATTCTAGCCATCCTGCACCGTCCGCGTTAAACACAATATTCCGTCTTAATTCAATCGTCTCATTCTTACCCTCAGGATCCCCCGAATGTTGCTTGTAGAATTATCGCTGGCAAAAACGCGTCCATACTTTGCGTGCAAGTGTGTGCGTGTGTCCGCGGTTTCGCCAAGCCCGAACTTTGCGCATCCAGTCGTTCCTGCGATGGCGGGCGCAGGAACTGCCTCGTCGCGACATCCAGCGAGCGCCGGCGCAACTGCCGAGAGCCGGGGGGTCGCGGTCGGTAACGTCGGGATTCACTCTGCGTTCCGGTTACCGTCCACGCCAATCCATGTTCCGCGAAATTCCTGCAGAGGACGGTAGCGCGCGGTGGAGCATAAAGTCAATCTAGTGACTTTAGTGGAGCACTTTCGCTGCGCAAATCCCAAATCCGCGAGATGGTCGGAGCGCGATATAGATAGGTGCCTCTCCTCGAGACACCCCGGTTTTTTATTTTCACCAGCGACAGAAGAATTGACGTTGCAAACAACTGCGGCGCAACGAAATACGAGACGCTGTAGTTTCTCTGGACACGATGAATAGAGATCATTCAAATTTCTCTGCGCTCTCGCGTGCGTTCTTTCGAAAATGCCGGACGGAACTCGTCCGGAAAGAGAGAGAGAGAGAGAAATCAGGAATGTAATTAGCGAGATCGCACATCGAGCGCCTCTTCGAAAGCAATTGACCGAGCGGTCGCGTTGCGCCTGCGGATTCGGGCGACTTCCCGACGTACAATTCCGGCCTTCGAACGCAGTATATTCCCCGTTCTCTTCCCGCCTTCGACAATAAGTGTGTCGTAACGCCGTGAGTCACGGTAATCTTATCGCTGCGGTTCCTCGGGTCCACTTGGGACCGATTGGAATCCCGTTGGTCGCCGCTTCGTCGAGAAAGAAAGAGCCGGATTCCCCTAATTCCGAGACTGGGAGAGGCGGTGGGCGAAGCCAGACGTTGCGCGAGGGACTTGTCTCGCGATGTGAAAGTCCTCGGCGAGAATCATAAACCACCGTGGCCGTCGAGAGTTTCCCCAAGGCCGTGCACGCTCGCATGATTGTAGATCACCGGGGGAATCTACGCGCGCGAATAAACGTAAAAGACAAAGTGCGCGCGGCCTCGCGTTTTCCTCGGCGGCCCGCGGTTCTCGCCGGCAGTACGCGTACGGCCGCGGCATGGGCGCGGGTAATTGCAGAGCCTTCCGGAGGAGCGTCGGCTCGAGCCTGGACGAGTCCGTCGCAACAGGTGTGTACCATCCCATGTATCGTCCACGCGCGAGGAAGAGCCGGGGAGGAAAGGGCCGCGCGAGATCCACCCGAAATCAGGGACCGAGCTGTTTCTGTCTCTCGCACGTAGTATTAAAATTTCTCCTATTTTCTATCTCTCCGCTGATCAGTTCTGACGTGCGATCCAAGACTTCCGCGTGCCTCGGTCTTTTTGCCTCTTTGAGTTTCTTCTCTTTTCTTCTTTGGTTCGTCTGCGTCTTTTCTTCCTTCTGTTTCCTCCATTTCTTCTTCTGCTCCTTTCATTTTCTCTTTGTTCTCCCTTTTCTATCTCCTTTTCTCCTTATCTTATCATTTTTGGTTCTTCTCCATCTTTTCTTCCTTCTTTTTCC